GGTGAGCCACCGGCACCGCCAGACCTGGTCGCGGCCGCAGAGCTCCAGGCAGAACGCGAGGCTAACGAGGCGCTCAAAGCGCAAGCCGACGACGCAGCAGCCCGCGCCGCATCGAACGAGCTGCGCCTTGAGAACAAGATTTTGAAGCTCATGACGACCATCAACGAACTCTCGGCCAGCGTCAACGCGCTCTCGTCGGACAAGTCGGCGCTCGCAGAGGCCAAGACAAAGCTCCAAGAGGAGACGACGAGCCTCGCGTCGCGCGTAGCCGCCTTGGAAACGGCGCTGCAGACACAGCAGACACAAGCCAAGACCGACATGAAGGCGCTCGAGACGCGGGCGGTCACGGCCGAAGCCGCCCAAGAAGCCAACGCGACAACGATCCGGGAGCTGCAAACGAACATCGAAGGGCTCTCGAAAAGCGCACTCTACCGACGCACGCAAGAGCTCTCGAAAGAAATCCGGGACCTTCAGGCTCAGCTGCACCGACTTGGGCACTAGCGGCTACTAGTACAGCGTATCTAACTCTGTAAAAATTGCACGTTTTAATCATACCCGTCCCACGAATCGCCTTGGATGGATTCGCTAAAGACAAGTGTAGCCGTATGGCAGGGAATGCACCCTTGCGAAAGGGTCAAGCGGGGCGTGCCTCAACCGATACCGTCAAGATCCGTTAATTGCGTCGACCTACAAGGGTCTGGTGGAGGGAATGCATAGATGACTGCTTTCGTCTTCACAAAATACTCAAGTTCAAACTTGTTTTATTTTCTGTGCGTGGAGTCCAAAAGTGTCGACGGCTACGCAGCCGTGAATCGATCGTGCCATTCCAGTAGAGGTACTGCTTCATGCAACGGAGGAGCGACAGCTATCTAGCAGCTTTCGAGGTTGTGGGCCAAGAACTGCGCAGTCCTTGAGGAGAATGGCCTTGCCGAGCCACTTCTCCTCATGGAGTACGGCATCCGTGCCCCTGAGCACAGCGGCGCAGATTTCTCTTTCTCGAGGCGCGCTGTCTTGGCTGCTCCTAGCCTCCTAACCTCCTAACCTCCTCGTGGGGCTGCTTCATCCTCGTTGGCTCGCGCCGTCGCATGGTGCTTGTGGTTGCTCTCCTGGCGCGCGCGAGTCGATTCTTCTCAAGGCGCGCCGCTTTGGCCGCTGCATCTTCGGACGTACGTTGCGTCGCGTCATTTCGGTTCAACGACACGTTGGACGGCGTTAAGCATCACTGGAGCTGTTGCATCAATGGGGCTGTCGTTCTCTCAAGAGATGCAGCAAGAGGTTTATATCTGTCGCTCCGCTGCTGGTTGAAGCAGTACGACTGCTTTCAGGCCACGCCAAGCACTTGGTGACTTCGTTGACGACTGGTATCCGCCGCTAACTATGGCCACACGTGAACACGATACACAGCTAACACGTACTGGTATATTATGTGAACGCAAAAGCAATCCACACTGCATTCCTACTAGCCTCCTAACCTTGATTGCAGTCGACGACTGAAGGGACAGTGTTTGAAGAGTCACTCGTTGGTACCACCATTTCAGCTACTACAACTAAGAACCTAGTCCTATATATGTGCCAACGGTCCTTAGTGATGGTAGGTGAGGATAAAGTCGATGGCCGATGCCACGTCGTCAAAGATGTGCGTGTCATGGCGATGTGCCGTCTCGGTGAGGTACGCGCGGGCGCGATGGAGGTCCTGGAACTCGCGGCCGATGGGCGTTGCGCCGTCTTCCATCGAAGTGCCTTCGGTCATGGGTTCGATCACGAGCAAGACTGCGCGTTCACTACGCCACGACGTGAAATTCGAGATGGCGCCGGAAACACCTTTGTTTTTGTACCTGCAGATGAGGAGGAGCGCGTCGGTCATCGAGGCGATCGACCGGCAATTGCTGGGAATCACAATCAAAATCAAGTCGGCCGAGTGCTTCATGTTCTTGTCCGACTTGTGTTCGACGCCGTTGGCGACCCAGAGAAAGTCGCCGCTCGGACTATAGTACGGCACAAGCGCCTTTGCAGCATCGGAATCGCCGTGCTCGCACGCCACGACGTATGGCGGAGGTTCCCGCCGAGGTAGATGTAGCGCTGGCTCGACTCCTTGACCGGCGCCGAGTTGGTCAGCGGCGACTCGGCGTCGCCTTCGTCCTCGGAGCTGCCTTCGCTCTCGATGATCGAGCTGCTCGAACACGACCGCATGAAGACCTTTGTATTGAGCGGCTTCTTGGGCCACTGACTCAGCACGAGCGACGACCGCTTCCGGAGTCGGTTGGGCCGGACGCGCGACCCGCCCTTGCTGGTGACCGGGGCGAGGCAGTCTTCCGAGATGACGTGCGTCACGGCATCTTCGACGGTCGCAAAGAGCTTGACGAGCGGGTACATGGAGACATACTGACGCAGGCACGCGCGCGCTGCGTTCAAGTCGGCGATCTCGTGCTCGGTGAGCGCCTTGTTGCCGATGTGAACACCTGCTTCCATGTCCAGGACGACGAGCACGACGCGCCGGCCGCAGCACATGTACTCGGCCGCTTCGTTGATCGAGACGATGGCGCGCGTGAGGTTGTCAATGACGAAGAGCACCATGGTGGCTAGACACAACGGTGAGGCGTCTAACGAAGGTGGCGACGGTCTTTGTACCCGTCTCTTTGGCCTGCGCCTCGAGGTCCATGAGTCCTTCGTGCC